TGTAAACACAATCTCCTGTTCGGCTTAGTTAGCAGTTCAATGAAATAGAACAGTCCTTCAATTAAAATCAAATGATGCGTGCGTTTAATTCTTCCCTTCTTTTACCGGGTAATGATAGGGTTTGAGCATAGGCAAGAGGATAAAAAAAAAAGTCTTTCAGCTGCTCTTATCTGTGATGAATCAAAATGTGATGTCCTAAAAATACATATGGATAACTAAACTTCTTAATTAACAGCTCCGAACTTAGCAGTTGGTCTGTTGTCTGTTTGTCCTCATTTTTTTTCCCTTCTCGCTGCCTTAGCTCTGCTTACTCTAATTTGGGGATTTCTCCTTTGCTTCTCTCTGGTTCATTCTGGTTTTGCCTCTTTCCTGCTGCCCGCATCTCCCAGGGCAAGGGGTAGCTTTGGGATGGGGGACCAGTTCTCATCCTACAGAGAGATGCTATGCGACCGCAGAGATATGGTTGTCACTAAAAGCAGGAATAAAACCCTCCTGGCTCATACCAGAACAGGTCACTCCAGTCTCCAGAAGTGGCAGATAACTTTTCCTGGAAAAAACAAATAATTCCATTGATCTTTTTTTTCCCCCTGTGAACCATTTACTAGCTTTGGTAGAGGGTCATCCAGAAAAGTGGAGTTTTGCTCCAGCTTCCCTCATTTCTTTAGCTGATCCCCATCCCCAAGGCTCTTTGAATTACCTGGCCACTGTTCTTGGTGTTTGAGGCTAATTTTTTTTATCTCAGCATCTCCTGGCTTTGAAAGCATTCATCTCCAGCAGGACGAGCAGGCAGAGCGAGTGTTGGGAGGAGGATGCCCAGCGGGCCCGCGGGTTTTTCATGTCTTGCTGAGTTTTTGCATGTTGTCGCAGCTTCTTGAACATCCACTGCTCTGCAGGGGGGGGAGAGGCGCGTTTCCAAGCCGTCTCTCAATGCTCGTGTCTATTAAAGCCATTTTTCCTTGGTCCCTGTAAATTGCCTGTGAAAAACATGTCTTGAGTAATCTCCGCATCTCGGACATTTTCTGCATGAAATATTCAAGAGCCTGATACTGTTCGCTTTGATGGGTGGTGAGTTATTACCAGTGCCGGGCTTGGACTTCTCATACGCATGCGGTGATGGGAACAATTAGCACCCAATTAGGCTACCTTGCATCTGCTCTGGGGATTTTTCTGCTTAAAAAATTGCAATGCACCAACAAGCAGAAAAAAAACAATCAAAAATCCTCTGCTGTGTAGGTAACTTTTAATGTCAGAGCGAGGGTGTCATGCTGGCGCTGGCAAGCTGCTTCTGAATTCCTGCACGCTAAGAAGGCTAGGAGATGAGTTAGCAGCCAGGAGCTGATGGGATGGTCCCTGCAGCAATGCACAGAGTCCCCTATATGGGGGATATATGCACCAGGGATATACGTGTGGGTGCACTGTAGGGACCCAGGTCCTTGGGAGGTGTCTGGAGGTGGGCAGGGAAGAAGAGAAGTATTAAAGCCCCTGGAACACTGGACCTGCCTCCCCTTGGCATCGACCTGCTCTCTTCTCCCAGAAATCGAATGTATTTTCTAGATGCATCAAAGAGAAACAGCTTGTAACCCCCTAACTTTGAAATCCAGCACTTGGAGCAGGCTTGGGATATGATATATGTGTGTATATACATAATTAATTTTTGTTAATCCCTTTTTCACTCCTTATTTTTTTGACTTGGAGGCTTTTCAGGAAAATAGCATGCTGGCCGAGGCTGCGCTCTGCAGCTCCCCATGCCACCATCCTCCTTCCCCGTCCCTGACCCAGCTGCCAGCCCAGCTCTTCCCAGCCCAGGTCTGGCCTTTGCAGGCAGAGACTGCCCAGACCCACCTGCTGCCTCGAGCTGCCAGCCAGCAATTTGGCACCAATTCCTCCTGTTTCTGCTAAGATGGACTTGGCTCCCTCTCCTTTTTTTTGCCCGGGCACTTAAAAGCAGAAATCTGAGAAGCTATGGGCCAGCTCCAGTAAGGTTTATTCCTGGCAGTTAGAGTCTCATCCAGCGACTGCAAACTCATTGTATACAGCGGAAAGAGTGACATCTGGCTTGGATATTCTGGAAAGGTTACCAGCTGGCTTGTCATGTATTATGAAAAGAATAACATTTGCCTTCGAGGATGCTACAAGCCAGGAGCAGGGCCCCGGGGAGCAGCGTGACAAATTTCCGTGGCGCTCGGTGATGAACTTGCCACAGTTCTTTAAGAGAATTGACGTGCCTTCGCCTCTAATTTGGGGAGAGGGGAAATGCTGTCGGAAACTTTATTTATCTCCCGCGGAGGAGTGGAGGAGGGAGTCCAAATACCTCCCTGCCATGGGGATTGTGTGAAAGGAGCAGAGTTGGAGCTTTTCTGCTCTGCAACACCCTGGGCTCTTCCTTCTGCTCCCACTTTGCAAGTGGGGAGCAAAAACCCTTGACCCAAGCCTGGTTTTGGCTGCAGGGAGGGCTGAGCACTGCAGATATTCCCTGGCAAAGCTTTTCTGCCTGTTCTGGGCTTCATGCACAGCTCCAGCAAGGGAGACCGTGTGCTGAAAGCTGAGCAACAGCCCCAGGAATGGGTGCAGGATGGGAGCCCCTGGCCCCCCTCTCTGCACCACTGTCATAGGGAGTTTTTCTTTCCCTATGTGCTAAACCACTAGGGAGGAAAATAAATGTGGGTCTGGTGAAAATAATGTGCTCCTGGGATGGGTGAGGTTTGTTTCCAGGAAGAAGGAGAGGGAGAAAGTTGGCTCCTTGTCTCACACATGCCACAGGAGAGCTGCAGAATCCCCTTTTTTCCTGAAATCAGTGCTTTAGCCCAAGCCCATCCTCCTTCCCCATGTCGTGGAGCGGCCGCCCCGCACACCTCCCTGTTGCATCTCTCCCTGAGGCGATGCCAGTTGCGTTATTGCTATTTATTAGTGTCCGACGTGTAGAAGAGCGCAGCGCTGCCCAGGAGTCCTGTCTTCTCGTCAGGAGTGCTTGAATAACCCAGATGAAGAGGCTGACCTTGCCCTGGAAATTTGCAGCCTGTTGGGAGGCTGTAAGTGGGTCAGGCAGCTGGTGTAAGTGGGAAAATAATCCAGTTCATGCTGCTGGCAGCCCCTCGGCAGGCAAAAACTGAGTGCGACCTGCACGCCCAGCCGCAGGAAGAGCAAAAAGAAGGTACAAAGTGGATGGGTGGCTCTCGCCAAACCCCCGGCTCAGCCGGGGAGCTCGCTGCGGGGTGATGCTGGCGTCCCCAAAGGACCAGGTTGTCCCCAGAAGATGCTCAGCTGCCCCACAGAAGATGCTTGCGTCGGTGGCTGTGAAATGCCGTGACCTGGAAAAAGCCCCAGTCACGGATGGCTGGAAACAGCAAAAGTCTCCAGGAAACCACTGCATTCCCACATGGAGCATCCAGTGCTCTGGTCCAGCCCTGAGCAGCTGTGCTTTATTTCCTCTTACGTCCTTTCCCCAGTACGTAGCCCATGAAACTGCAGGGGTCTGGCTGCGGGCTTGGCAGCAACATCTCTGCTCCTCCCCGGCGCTGGCTGAGTTTTGGTGGTACCTGCTCCCCCGCTCCCTCGGCGCGCTTGAGATCTGATGTGATGAAAAGTGCTGGGTGGATGTAAGGTATGGCTGCAGATCCCTTCTACTTCATTCAATCACTGCTTCATTTGTTCCTCCATTTAATTTGATTAAAAACCTCCTGAAAACAAATCATTCCTATTTAAAAAAAAAATAACACAATTTCTACCCTTTATTTTCATCAGTTCTTATGGCTTTAGGCAGGTACTGTTGGATGATTCAATCACTGGTTGGACAAAGATGACATTTAATTAAGAAGGAAGGAAAAGGAAGCTGAAGAAAATAATGTATGCCCTCTTCTTTCTATATGAAGTGTGGAAAAAAAGAGCTGAGGAGATTTTCTGTTGTGAAATGCAAGGTCTCATCTACAGTGTCAGCAACTTGGCTGCTTCACAGCGATTCCTCCCTGTGATTGAGATCCAGTGTGGGCCACAATTCAGCCTCGAGTCTATTCATTTAATGACTGAGTCAATTTGGAAAACTGCAGCCCATCCGTCTGTCCACCTGGTCCATCTGCCCATCCTCTCCCACATCCTTCCCATTTCTTTAACCTTCCACCTCGGTGATTCGATTCATCCCAAGAAAAATCCCCAGAGCATCGCCTGGAAAGCGTGAGTTGGTGTCAGCAGAGCCAGATTACCGATACACGTGGAAATAACTGTGCTTCCATCGCTCCTTGCGCTTTTTCTGAGCATTATGCTGAGCAGTGAGAGAAGATGAGAAGGGGTAACCAAGCCAGTAATCGGATTAGGAGTGGAAATCAGCTCCTCTTGTCCCTCCTTTATTCCGCCTGGTCCTGCTGGTTCTCCCCATCTCTGTTCTTTCTGCCTTCGCCCTGCCCGCAGAGCCGAGTCTGGCAGGAGGGCAGGCAGGGCACGAGCAACTCAGCCCCCAGGGTCTCTGCGAGGCTTCCTCTTGTTTTTTCCCTTCTCAGCTGCAAAAGAAGAAAGCAAAATGTAAAGCCCAACCTCAGGCATTTTAATTGCACTCTAAGCTTTAACATTTCAGGGGGAAGATAAAAACAAGCAGTGAAATTTTACAGTCGTGTAATGATGCCGGGAGCAGCGCGGCCAAATGAGGTTGTGAAGTTTATGGTGTGCTCTGCCAGTCGGGCAGCGCTTGGAAAGAGCTGGGGAGGTGGGGACCAGTAACGGATGGAGGAATGAGGGTCCCATGCTCAGGGGCTCGTCCCCAGTGGGGTACCCACCCACAGGCAGGCACCCTTCCCTTGCCTGTGACCCTCTGGCAGGCTGGGGCGACTGGAGGCGAGACAAGAAGTTGCACCTCCTGAGTCTAGATCTCATTTAGATCTCCTCTCTCTATCCCATTTATCCTCTTCTCTCACCTCTATTTTTTAAAAAATGTTGCTTCTTGCTCCTGAGTCGCTCCGTGCCAGGAGCGGCGGTGAAATCCCATCCCTCTCCCTCTTGCTTTTTGCACCCAGGTCCCGGCTGGCCGATTTCCACACCAACTGCCAAGCCTCCTTCCAGTCCCTGACCAGTTGCCCTGGGGACAACTACCAGGCGTGCCTGGGCTCCTACGCAGGGCTCATTGGTGAGTGCCGGCGGGTCGGGCTGGGGAAGGGTCTTTCCTACCGCAGCCCCCTCATCCCTCTTCCTTCTCCTCGCCCGGGAGCAGGCTTCGACATGACGCCCAACTACGTCGACGCCAGCACCAGCAGCATCACCATCTCGCCCTGGTGCTCCTGCAAAGGCAGCGGCAACATGGAGGAGGAGTGTGAGAAGTTCCTCCGAGACTTCACGGAAAACCCCTGTCTCCGTAAGGCGCTTCCCTGTCCCCCTCCTCACCCTTCCCCATCACCACCGGGGTGCAGCCCCCCCTTAAACATCTCCTGCCCCCCCAGGAAACGCCATCCAAGCCTTCGGCAACGGCACCGACGTGAACCTCTCCCCCAAGAACCCCTCGCCCCCCGTCACCCTGCCACCGAAAACGGAGAAGAGCCCTGCCTTGCCAGATGACATCAATGACAGCAACACCATGTACGACACGAGCATCATCACCACCTGCACCTCTGTCCAGGTAGGACCTAAGCTCCGTCGCTGCTGCAAACTGGGGGCACTGGTCTGGACCCTCGTTGGGTTCATCAGCCTGGAGAGAGGCTGCAGCCCATGGGCAGCAAAAAGTCCTGCTCGGACCATCCAGAACGGTCTGGATGCAGTGTTGGTACCCGGGTGCCTGGCAGGATCTGGCCATCCCTGGGCACTGCTGGGGGGGGTCTGCCATGGGGAAGGGAGGGATCTGTGCCCTGCCCGTCTTCTTCTCTCACTTGGGGCATCATTCCCTGCCTGGCATGGTGCTGTGCCCAAGGCAAGGTGAGCTGACGTGGCTGCCCCGAGCCCAACTTCTCCTGCCCCCAGCTCATTCGGGGTGAAAACAGCTTGAATTCCATGTGGGTTTGGGAAACTTGAAAAATACATATTTTCTTGCATTGCGCTGGGCTTGCGGCTTCATGCTTTGCTCCTCGGGTGGGAAGGTGCTGCCAGGAGAGGAGCGGGATGGGGACTGTGGCCGGTGGGTGTCACAGGGGTGTAGGCAGGGTCCTCGGCAGGAATATTTGCAGCAGGGAACACAGAGGGAGCAAACCTGGGGCAGGGATGAATCCGCATGAGTGCTTGCAGCCTTCTGTTGTCTGTGCTCTCTCCTGCTTCAGACAGGAGCCCAGCAAAGACCCTGAGCTGCCCCGGGGAGAAGGGATGAGCCCCTTTTCTTTCTTCTTGCTTTTCATGAAGCTCTTCAGGCTTCAGCACCAGCCATGTGCTCTGAGCCACGATTTCCAATGCCCTGTGCACAGGGCTGCAGGCATCACTCCGTGCCCTTGCAGGGCTGCTCTGCAGCTCCCAGGGGAATTTGGGGACCCCAAAACCTTGGGGTGCGACCCCGGGCAGGAGCAGGTCTGGGTGCACATACCTGCCCTAACCCTTTCTCCTTTCTCCTCTCCAGGAGCACGGATCGAAGCTAAACAAGTCCAAAGAGCAGAGCCTGTGCTACTCAGAGGTACGTTTGGGGCAGGGGGGGAGCAGAGGGATGGGGGTCCCCAGGGCCCGGGAGCTCTTTCTCACTGCAAATGGCTCAGGAAAGACGTGCCAGGCAAGTGCCGTGCCGGGGACCACTGGCTTGGCTGACCGGAGGGCAAAAATAGGTGTTTTCCAAGATGGGATGCTTTTGCCCCAAAAGGGCTCTGATGAAACCCTGCTCTCCCCCTCGCCCGCAGACCCAGCTGACCACGGACATCATGCCAGACCAGAAGACGTTCGTGGACCAGAAGGCAGGCGGCAGCCGACACCGGGCGGGCCGGATCCTGCCCCTTGTGCCCATCCTCCTGCTGATGCTGGCGTTATAGAGGGGCGAGGAAGGCAGCGGCCGGCGGGACGGGGACGCTTGCAGAAAGCGCGCACGAAGCGCGCCCCGGCAGCGCCCGCCGGCACGCTCGCTCTCGCCTCGGTTCCTGCTGCGGCGATGGGGAAGGGAAGGATCGCTTCGTGCTGGAGACTGAAACGCTCACAAACGCCGGGGATGCCGAGCCCCGGCGCGCTGGGCGGCAGGAGGACCCTCACCACGCTGGGAAACTTTGGTGGTTTTCTTCCTATTTTCATTTTTTCCCCCTTTTTTTTTTTTTTTTTTTGGTTTTTTTTGGTATTTTATGGTGCGTTGGGTTTCTTTTCTAAAGCAGGAGCTCACGGCTTGTGGCGAAACCCCGCCATGAGCCCTGCAACAGGCGATCCAGAGAGGTGAGCGGCGCTGGGGAGGGAAAATAAGCATCGAGCAGAGCTTTGGCGAAGGTTATTTGCAGGACCCATCAGCCCGAGTGCACTGGGGTGGTCGCGGGGACAGCAAGGTTTCCACATCAGAGCATCCTGGAGGATGGACAGGCCGTCGGGAGGCTCTTCTGCATCCTCCGAGGGGACTCGCTCGAGCTTTTGACATTGTTATTGGGGTTTTTGTTTTTTTTTTCTTTCCCGTGGTCGGCGAGAGTTTTAAAATGGAAGAGAAAAGAAACTACTGTTCAGACGTTGTGAGGTTGTCCTGATGTTTTCAATCTGTCACTTCGAGGGAGAGTTTTTTCTTTTTTTTTTTTTTTTTTTTAAATCTTTGTCCAGTCGAATTTGGGTTGGGATGGGATCCGACCCATCGGTGGTCGGAAACCTCTGTATGTTCCTCTCTGTTTTCTTTCTTTTATATATACATATATAGTGTATGTATATACCGTCCACCTATACCTACATATATGTATGTATATACACAACCATATACATCTACAGTGTGGCTTTTTTAATTTCCTTTTTTCCTTTATTTTTAAAAAAAAATCTCAAATGGCAACAACAACTTAAAAATGTATTATTGTAAAGTTTATTTTTTTTAATAATGTCTATAATGGAAAAAAAAAAAATAAACCAAGAACAACCAACCAAGGAACGAAGCAGCACCGAAAGCCGAGCTCCGCCGAGCATCCACCTGTGCCGGGGTTTGTGTCCGGCCAAGCATCCCGAGCCCGGGGGGGAACGGGGGCCCTTCAGCTGCAGAAATGCCGGGATTTGGGTCAGTCTAAATATCTTGCAATGCTGCGAACAATTCCCTGACTGTTTTGCTCCAGGAGACAAGCAAACAAGCAAACATTTCAAAGGAGCTGACACCTTCGCGTGTGGCAGGGTTTGTTTTTGAAAATACCATCCCCTTTCCTTAATGTCTTTTTCTTTTTTTTTTTTCCCCAAGCAACCTGACAGTGCTTAAAACCGAAATGAAATACCGAGATTTGGGTCACACAAAACATCAAGTTTCTTAAATTTTTTTTTTTTTTTTCCCCACTTTACTGCTCGTGCCAGGGAGCAGAAACATCAACCCCCATCCAGCTCTGCCTGTGGAAAACAGGACGTCAGGGGCATCCTGGGGACCTGGGGATGCCAAAATCTGAGCTGAAGGACCAGCTGGGCTGTTTGCAGGGAGTTGGGCACTGGTAGATAGGGGAGGGAGGGATGAATATTCCCTTTTGCAGCATGGAAAAAGAAAACACGTTTGATGTGGAAGTTGGCGCGGGGAAAATAAACATGTCACGTCTCTCGCAGGAGTCGCGTTGCAAACCCAGGCTGCTCTTTACCATATTCTCTCCTCTAACAGCCAGGAAAATGACAGCTCTGAACTAGAGAACCAGATGTGCTGAGCAGTTTGGCACCGAAAAAAAGCACCTGGGCCTGGAGGGTGGCGTTCAAGGGGCTCTCCAGCCAACTTTGGGGTCCCTCATGCGTGGGGTGAGCTGAAATCCCGGCTGCCCTGACCTGGGTGCTCCCAGCCATCCTTCTGCTTCAGCCATGGGTTCGAAGATTTGGCAAAGGCACATGGACCCCCTGAGCACCGGTACCGTGTTTCTTTAGGAAAGGGGCTGTGAAATACAGTGCAAATCGCTCTTATTGGTGGTGGTTTGGTTTCCTTCTTCCCCGAGAAGGCTAGAAACACTCAAGGCGTTTCTGAAAGGAATGTGAACTCCTTTGCTGGGAAAGGTCAGGGAAAAATGTCTCCATCCAGTACCTGATGCCCACCGGGTACCTGCACCCCATCCGCAGGAGATGTCCAGCCCGCTCCCTGGAGCTCCTCACATCTTCCAGCTAAGGAGGCATCAACAGAAAGCAAAAAGCTTCGAATGAGCCTGAGTTATGAGTTGCCCCTTCGCTCTCGCGGGTGTTTTGGCAGTGCCGTGCCCTCCCCGAGCACCCATGGCCATGCTGGCGGGGCGAGAATCAGGGCAGTGCCCGGAGCTGCCGGCTGCAGGAGGGATGGGGAGCTGCCGTGCGTGGAGCACCCCGGATCCCAGCTGTACCTTCCCCCCCCGGCTGGATCCTAGGCACAGAGATTGTGCTGGAGCTGCTGAATATTCATATGTTCGGGATGAAGGCATTAGCCGTGCTGATAAGCAAGCTGCCTTCATCCAGGTGCCTCGTACCTCGAGCTGCTGAAAGCAAAGCTCTTTAAGGTAGAAGTGCTGATCCTGGGGCTGGGGACGCCGAGTCTGAGATGCAAAATCCTGGCAAGTTATCCTCCCAAAGCCTTGCTAAGTCTTTCTCTCCAAACACAAAGCTTTTCCTGGAAGGAGGGCAAGGGGATGAGACGCTATCTCCTTGTGAAGCGGTGGAAGGAGGCTGTGGGAAATTGTTCTGGAGGATGCGGCAGAGCTAATGCAGCGTGCTAAATCGCTGCCTTTCCTGCTGGCAGAAACTATGTGATGTATACGAGGATTTCATTTGCATGTGTTGTTTTGGGAAAAGTCCTTTTCCAGGAGCAGCACAAATGGAGCCTTGAGGGTCCGGGGGTCTCCAACCCCTCCCAGCGGAAGCCAGGGCTCATCTTGTCTGGATTTGGAGAGACCCCCATATGCCAGAGGGATGTTTGGAGACCTTGTGCAGACTCTCCTGGGGCTGCATTGCAAACAGCAGCATGGACAGTCCTGCTCCAAACTGCTGCAACCCTCGTCCATGCAAATCGTTGCAGTAGGGATGGGTCCTGCGTGCCAGACACGGGCGTGCAGGCAGGAGAGATGCTCTGGTGGTTTTTGGCTAGTTGCAGCTTCAGCGTGACCAGAGGAACAGAAACCAGCCTGCAAAATCCATCTGTGGGCACAGCCCTGAGAAACTCTATGGAATTGGTGGCTTCCAGATGTCCCAGCTGAGTGTGGGGTCCAACGGCTCCAGGACTTGCACCTACCCGAGGGCTGTAAAGTGCATGGGACCAGGCCTGCCTGCAAACAGGGGATTTTCCTTCTCTTTTTCCTCTGCTAACCCAGATACTCAAGCAAGATGTTCCAAGGAGCTGTCTGCCACAGCTTCCCAAATCCTGGGGAATATCCTAAGCCACGCATCTGATGAGCAGCCGGTGTGCACTAACCCCTTCCCTACCCCTCATCCATGCCCGTCCTCTCTCCACGGCTCTCCCTTTGCTCTCACCCACTTACAGAAGGCAAAAGAAAAGGCATTAAGGGCAGCTCATTTCTCTAAGAGCAAGTTTTCTGGTGCGCTGGTTTGGGGTTTGGTCACTCGTGGTACAATCCGTTGGATTTTGTCCTGTCTCATGACAAGGGCAGCTGCAGCAACACAGAAAGACTCTTCCAACATGATTAAAAATAGATGGGATGGCACCTTTGCCCTCTATAATTAATTTGATGTTCTCCTTTAGGCTTTAATAAGCACTCAGGCCACCATGGTCGGGCAGGTGTTGCCTTCCTCCTCCCTCTTCATAATCCTCTGTTAAGTAAGTTATCACCTTGGGGCACTCCTGACCTCCAGGTTTCCCATGAGCAGATACTTTTGCCTCATTAACTTTCCCGAGCTGCTACACTTCACAAGAAATACTCCCCCCCAGCATTGTGTTGCGTTAAATTCTAAAGGCATAAAAATAACTTCTTGCTGACCACATGGCGATGAGCGGAGCTGCAGGTCATGGATGGGGATGTGCATGGAGCTGGGACACGTGAGTTTAGAAACCTCTTGATCCTCAAGCCCAGAAGTTCACTTGATGCTGTTCCAGCAGGGAGAGAAAAAGAAAGAGAAGGATGTAGGAAACTGGTCCTTTTGTTAAATAGGAACAATTCCAGTGAGGCACCAAGCTTCTCCTCAAATCACCCATCACCATTATCTGGGATAACCTCACCAGAGGAGGACGCTGGCAGGAGGCTTGGCGAGGTCTCTAACAAGGAGAGGAAAGCAGAATTGATTTATTTTCTTATCTTTAATATTGTAAGTGAAGCTCTGGAGACTCTCACAGGTCCTGAGGCCTCGGATGATGCTGTGAGATTTAAAGGATTTGGGGGAGCGGGATGCCACACAGCAGGAAAACCAGGACTCTCCGCTTCAATCCGGGCGAGCGGCTGGAGAGGTGCTTTGGGGGGTGGCACAGGAGTCTCTGCCCCACGAGCCGTGTCCCAGCGCTGTCAGGGCCAGGGACACCAGGGAGGCAAAAGGGAGTTTGGACTTGCCCAGGCCAGCTGCAGCCACCGTCCCTGAGGAGAGGAGGGGCTCAGGGGGTGACCAAGAAATCCCCAAAACTCACGGGGCTGACTTGAAAACATGGAGTGGTCCTGCTTTACGTATACATATGAACATGTGATTTTCTTATCAGCACAAGTGAGCTCTATCAGGTCCCCTAGGCAAAAAAAAAAGAAAGTTTTTGCAGTGACATCCCCCCATCTCGCCAGGCAATTAAGGAGGTGGCTAACGAGCCCAGGGCTGCAGCGGTGGCGTGGGGTTTTGCCCCAAGCAGTCTCAGCTGCAGCATTTGCTGGTGGGGAACCAGGCTGTAGGATCGGCCGCCTTTCTCTCAATTGCCGCCCGAATGGCCTCGTTCCAGCAACAATTAGCA